ATCTGTAATACTGTCAAAAATAAAATAAAAAAGAGTCATTATAATCCTAGTACTGTGCAGCCTTCAGGACATTCAACTGGTACCATAAACACAATGTCAGCTCGTTGCAGAGAGAATATTACACATATTCAGATTACTGCACCAGCTTACTAGCCAGGAATTATGTTGCCAAATGCCAATTCACCCATTAAAACAAAAGCAAACTCCCTCTGGAAGAGGGCATGCAGCGGTTCTCAACCTGTGGGTCGTGACCCCTTTGGGGGTCAAATGACCCTTTCACAGGGGTCACCCAGGACATAACAATAGAAAAATTACTGTTATGAAGTAGCAACGAAAATAATTTTCCTGTTGAGGGTCACTACAACATGAGGAACTGTATTAAAGGGTCGCGGCATTAGGAAGGTTGAGAACCACTCCATAGAAGGATAAATGATGATGGAAAAAAATAAAATTAAAACAAAAACAAAAAGAATCTCCTTCAAAAGCAGCAATAACAAAAAACCCTCACAAAATAAAATGCATGGGCATAAGGACCAATCTAAGGATAGAATAAACCTAATAAACTGAATGCATAAATTTAGGACTGCAATGACACCTTACACTGAATTCCTAGCTGAACCTTTATGTCCTCTTCAGCTCTGAAAGGATAGATGGTAGTTAGAGGATGCTCATGCTTTGAAGAAGCCTTTGACTAAATTAAGGTCATCCCTGAATGGTAGACACAGCTATACAACTCCAACTCAATAGTTACATACAGCCCTGGCCGGTTTTGCTCAGCGGTTAGAGCGCCGGCCTGCAGACCAAAGAGTCATGGGTTCGATTCTGGTCAAGGGCACATACCTCCGTTGCAGTTTGGCCCATCCTGGGTGGGCTCGTGCAGGAGGCAACCAATCAATGTGTCTCTCTCACGTTGATGTTTCTCTTTCTCTCTCTCTCTCACCCTCCCACTCTATCTGAAAATAAATGAAAAAAATGAGGATTAAAAAAAAAAGTTAAGCCCTGGCCGATTTGGCTCAGCAGTTAGAGCGTCGGTCTGCGGTCCAGAGAGCCCCCAGATTCGGTTCCCGCTAAGGGCATGTACCTCGGTTGCAGTTTGTCCCCGGCCCTGGTTGGGTTGTGCAGGTGGCAACCACTCAATGTGTCCCTTTCACATCGATGTTTCTCTCTCTCTCTGTTCCTCTCTCTCCCTCCCACTCTACCTGAACGAAAAATGGAAAAATGTCCTCAGGTAAGGATTTTAAAAAAAATAAAAAGTTAAGACAACTACAATTAAAAAAAATTTATTTTTAAAGAGTTACATACATATAACTCAAGAGTTAGTTATACGCTTCTATCTCTAATCTCCCCTTCTGTGTTGCAGGCTCCACTCTCTTTGGCATTCATTCAGTTCTGCACCAGCATGCCCCACAGAGCCTCAGAGATTTTGTAAAAATCTTGAAGAGTGGAAAGAATCTCAGAGGAAATCCAATCCAACCTCCTAGGGCTCTAATCTAAGAATTTCCTAAGTAAACAGTCTCTGGCTTTGAAGTTTTAGAGCAAGGTTCCTTTCTCTTTGGGGTCTTTGAGAATCTGATAAGATGTATGGGTTCAGAATCACATACCTAAACACAGAAATGCACTACGTTTTGAATAAAATGTCTCAGGGCTTGCATGTCCCTTGGTAAAGTACCCCCCCCCCCCGATTATGAGTTTCTCCATTACAGTGTTTCCTTCCTAGAGCTCTAAAAGTCTATTTAATTTTAAAAATCAAGTCATCCAGGGGGATTGTAGGAGGCTTGTCAATGGGGGGAAAAGGAGAAACATCAGTAACAAAAATAAATTAATAAAAAAAATTAAAGAGGAAAAAAAAAAAAAAATTAAGTCATCTGCCCGGCCAGTGTGGCTCAGTGGTTGAGTGTCGACCCATGCACCAAGAGGTCACCAGCTCAATTCCCGGTCAGGGCACATGCTCTGATTGTGGGCCCAATCCCCAGTGGGGGGCATGCAGGAGGTGGCCAATCAATGTTCTCTCTTACCAATGTTTCTATCCCTTTCCTTCTCCCTTCCTTTCTCTTTCTAAAAAAATTAAAGAAAAATTATCTTAAAAAAATTAAGTCATCTGCCCTGGCCCGTCTGGCTCAGCAGTTGGAGTGTCAGCCTGCCAACCACAGAGTCCCAGGTTCCTGCTAGGGGCACGTACCAAAAATTAAAAAAAAAATTAAGTCATCTGCCCTGGCCGGTCTGGCTCTGCAGTTAGAGTGTCGGCCCTCAGACCAATGAGTCATAGGTTCGATTCCAGTCAAGGGCACATACCTCAGCTGTAGTTCGTCCCTGTCCCTGGTTGGGTCATGTGACACAGAGGTAACCAGTAGATGTGGTCTATCACATTGATGTTTCTCTCTGTCTCTCTCTCTCCCCCTCCTTCCCTCTCTATCTGATGATAAATAGAAAAATATCCTCCGGTAAGGAATAAAATTTAAAAAAATTGAGTCATCTAGCCCTGGTTGGTTTGGCTCAGCGGTTAGAGCGTTGGTCTGTAGAACAATGAGTCACGAGTTCGATTTCAGTCAAGGGCATGTATCTTGGTTGCCATTTGTCCCCAGCCCTGGTCAGGCTCTTGCTGGAGGCAACCAGTTGATGTTTATTTCTTCCTCCCGCCCACTCTATCTGAAGATAAACAGAAAAATATCCTTGGGTGAGGATTCAAAAAATAAATAAAGTCATCTAAAGTAAAACAACCTGTTGCCCCAGACTGGATGACAGTTTTTATTTACTTGGGACTTTCTGGGTAACTCCTGTAATATACTGTTGGAAAAAGATAAGACACTATTAAAACAAACAAAGCAGGCCCTGGCCAGTTTGGCTAAGCAGTTGGAGCTCTGCGGACCAGAGTCTGGGGTTTGGTTCCCGCTAGGGGCACGTACCAAAAACAACAACAACAACAACAACAACAACATTATTACAAGTTCCCCATAAACAAATAGATTTCAAAAGAGATATTAGTTTTTATTCTTTCCCTCTTTCTCCTTATGGATGATGGAAAACAAGCAGGAATAGTCTAACAACCTTGCAAGGCAAATTCATCTTACCCTCTTCTGTAAGTCCAAGTTAAGTTTACCACTAAAATTTCTAGTTGTACTCTATGCTGAAGATACACAACTATAGTTTATTAAAATAAGTTAATGAAAAATTTTACTTTAGCTTTGCTACTGATTAAGAAAAAATAAAGGCAACTGAAAACAAATTTAATGGGCAACAGACAAATATTGTTGATGTAAGCAATGCTTCAGATTAATATTAATTTTTTTCTGTTCTAAAGAATTATATTCAAGTAGAAACATTTTAACTCTACTGCAGAGAAACAGCTGAAATCTAAAAGTCATGTGAGAGCTGACAAGAGGAAGAGCAGAAGGAAGGAATTCTGGGTAGGAGGAATGAATAGCTGATGCAAGGAAACAGGGAACCCAGCAGCTTGGTAAGAACCTAAAGGTTGGCCCTGTGGGACTACAAAAAGGAGGCTAGAGACAGAAACAGACCTTCTTGGAATCCAAAGGCCATATTGTGCCCTGGCCGGTTTGGCTCAGCGGTTAGAGCGTCGGCCTGCGGTCCAGATAGACCCAGGTTCGGTTCCCACTAAGGGCACGTATCTCGGTTGCAGTTTGTCCCCGGCCCTGGTTGGGTCGTGCAGGTAGCAGCCACTCGATGTGTCCCTTTCACATCGATGTCCCTCTCTCTCTCTCTCTCTCTCTCTCTCTCTCTCTCTCTCCCTCCCTCCCTCCCTCCCTCCTACTCTGTCTGAACAAAAAATGGAAAAATGTCCTCGGATGAGGATAAAAAAAAAAAAAAGGCCATATTGTCACTTGCCTCCAAGTGATTTCCCAATTATTCCCAGATATGATTTTTGGTGGCTTAAAAGCAGTGCCAGTTTCCTTGCTGTTCTCTGTTTATTCAATAGAAGTAGGTCATCTGAGTTCTAAGAATATAAGCTCTGGTTATCTGAGTTCTAAGAATTTAAGTTCTTCCCAAAGAATCTAATTGGCTATTTTTACTTGGGATGGTTTAAATAAACAAACCAACCCATAAACATTATAAGCAGTCTGATTTTGCATCTTGCAGAAAATGTTGGTTAAAACAGAATATAGGAGTCAATGTTTGTAAACTGAATTAAAATTCAAATCTCAAAGATGTTTTGATATTTTCACTAACAGGTTTAAGGTACCTTCACTGCCTACAGTAAACTGAAGTTCAACGAAATTGAAAATACCATGCCCTAGTTCTGCTAACCTACACCCAAACACAACAAGCTGTCCTTCTTCGAGACCCGGAGGAGGGTGTCTGGGGGCGGGGAGGAGGAGAAACAGCTGTAACAAAAATAAATTAATAAAAATGGCAACAACAAAGAAGCTGTCCTTTTGACTTTTTCCTTCGTACACACATGTTGCCCATTCAGAAACAGTTCTTTGCTAATCAAAATAAAACTTTTGGGCGACCATTTATTGAACACACACATCTTAATGACAGTGCGCAGTCTCGGACTTTGTCCACCAAATTAAACTGACCCACGGGCTCGCACCAGGAAAACCGCAAGAACCAGATGAAGATAAACAAAAAGCACTTGGCAGTCTACAGACAGGCACTTTGGGAAACAATGCAGAGTAACAGCAGCTGGGAGAGAAGACGAAGGTGGCTGCAGAGGAGACGATGAAATACGTCTAGTGGCTCGCTTGGGTCTGCTCCCAAGCATTTCCTGGGCCCGCCTAACTTGCTCGGTGGCCCTCAATCTCCATCGGGGACCCAGCCGCAAGAAGACCCGGAGACGAGGGGCCGCCCGGCGGGAGGGGTCGGGGGCCCCAAGGAAACCTCCCCACCCCAAGCGGACAGGGAAGGAACTGGGGGTGTGGACACGGCCTGAACAACCACGTCGGGGAGAGGTGGCTCGGCAGCCTCCCCAGCCCACAGGCCGATGGCCCAAGGAAGGCGCACCTCCCCCGCCGGCTGGCCCGCCGCGGCCACGGACTCACCAGCTGCAAGCCTTTGATCACGCGCCGAGGCAACTTGAGCCGGCCCGGGGTGAAGCAGGCGGCGAGGCCGCTCCGGGCGCCCCTGGCAGGGCCCGAGTTCTCCTCGGTGGTGGGTCTGTACACGGCTCCGTTCTCCATCGCCCAGGGCCGGGGAACACAGCACCGCAGAGGCAGCAGCGCGGACTTCACCGACTCCCGAAGTCTGTGGGCTGGGCCGTCACTTCCTGGGCCTCTGCCTGGATATCCGGCCGGCTCCGCCCTGCCCCGCCTCCTCTCTGGCCCCGCCCCTGGCCCCGCCCCCTGCCCGCCTAAGTCTCACCCACCGCCTCACCAGCCTTGTATAGAAATGAGCATCCGGGGATTCCCTGATCTGGGGATTCCCGGGTCCGGTGGCATGGTCCCCATAGGCAGAGGTTGCCCGCTTGAACCCTGTGCAAAAATCAACCAATGAATGTGTAAATAAGTGGAGCAACAAATCAATGTTTCTTTCTCTCTTCTGTCTCTCTTTCTCCCTCTTTCTCTCTCTAAAGTCAATCAAAAAATAAATATTCAAATTTAAGGATCTGGGAGAGAGACTTTCATAGGAACAGGATGTACACAGGTCCTGAGAACCAAATGAGCTTGGTTCATTCTGAAACCAAACACTGGTGTAACTAGGACTAAGCAAGAGAGAAGGACAGGAGATGAAATTGGAGATGTGGGCAGAGGCCAGATAATGTAGGGGCTCTGCAAGGCCAGAGAAGAAATGGGATCTCATTTTAAGTGAAATGGGTGGTCTGGAAGAACTTTGAGGCTTGCTACCTTCTGCATCTCTTAATTTATTTTAGGTTTACTTATCAACATTATTTAGTTTATTTGTCTCCTGTTCATCTGCTACAGTCACATATGTTAATTTTGTGTGAACTTATGGAAACTCATCAAAGGACATCATTATATTTTAGCAATGGAAGTTAATTGCACTACATGTCAGGCACACATATTTTCTCCACAATAATGTAATGTAGGTACTTTCATTACTTCCACTTTACGGATGAAAAAACTGAGGCCAAGAGGCTGAGGATCATATCCCAGGTCAAACAGCCAGGGGCAGTGGAAATGCAGGCCTCTGCAGTTTCATTAGGAATCTTGCTACTCACCGCTAAGCCAGCAAACCTCAGCTTCTAACCCATCTCTCCATGGATTTCAAAATCCATGGAAGAGGGGAGGGTAACTGCTGCCACCGGCTTCCATGTTTATCTTTTCTCTCAAACCCCCCTTTCTTCTTCCAGAAACAAAACAAAAGCTCTCATTCAAATTAATAGAGACAAGCAGATATTATTTGTGGGGGCTGTCTACAGTCAGCCAAAACGATCCTTCTGTCTTTTATTAATTGCATTCTAAATGTGCAGCTGAAGCCAAGCAGCCACCCATTCTGCCCAGTGACATTAGGCCACTGTGTTTTCACCAGGGCTACAAGGATTCGCTGTCCTGTTGTTCTTCAAGTCACCACCACTCCAAATGAGACATTACTGATATCTGAAATTTACTTTGAAATTCATCCAAAAAGTAAGATGGGTTGATGAATAGAGAGATGGATAAAAGGAAAGACTCATGGTAAAGCAACTTTTCTGTGTGTTTGAACATTTTCAAAATAAAATATTGAGGGAAAGTAATAAAGAATAAAGACACTTTGAGACAGTAGAGAAGATGAACAAAATTTCGCTCAACACTCTTGGTTTGTTGAAGGTACACTTGGGCAATTCTTTAGGAGTCTCTGTTTTTGTTTGAAGTTAGATGAGGATAAGAATTTAGCCTGTGACTCACAAACTTCAGGGTGCATAAGAATTATCCTGGAGTTTAACTAAAAAATAAAGATTCTTAGAAATCCAGCTCCAAAGAGTCTGAATTTGGGTAGGGCTCGGGAATACACTTTTGTAACAAGCTCTCCAGATGATACTGATGAGAAGTCCATTCATATGGAGGAACACTGTATTATAATGTGATGGGAATGAAAGCCAGTATTAGGTAGGAGACAGTAGGTGAGCCATAGCTTCCTTTGCCTTGATTGATTTGGGACTACCCAAAATGTAGACACGAATATCCCTCCCAGTTAAAAAAACAAAAGTATGTGTCACTTACGTTTTCTTAATAAATTAAAAGACCAGCCCTGGCCGATTTGGCTCATGGTTAGAGCGTTGGCCCTTGGACCAAAGAGTCGAGGGTTGGTTCCATTCTGGTCAGGGGCACGTATCTCGGTTGTGGTTCAGTCCCTGGCCTTGGTCAGGTTGGTGCAGGAGACAACCAATCGATGTGTCTCTCTCACGTCAATGTTTCTCTCTCTCTCTCCCTCCCACTCTATTTAAAGATAAATGGAAAATATCCTTGGATGAAGATTTTTAAAAATAAAATAAAAGACCAATAAAGATTTTAGGGTTTTATGAACAAACACTTGTATCAGGGAGCCATTTTGATGGATGTGCCCACACAGAAAACTGTCATCATTCATTAATGAATAAACAACAATGAATAGTTAAATTTATGTAGAAAAGATACACTGAATAGAAGAACGATTCATTTAAGTTTTGAAGAATATTCATTTTTCTCCTTTAATATTAAATAATTAATTAAAAATTTTTTCTTTATTGATTTTAGAGAGAGGAAGTGAGAGGGAGAGAAAGATAGAAACATCAATGAGAGAGAACATGGATTGGCTGCCTCCTGCATGCCCTCCACCGGGGATCCAGCCTACAACCTGGGCATGTGCCCTAACCTGGAATCAAACCAGCAACCTCTTCATGCATGGGTCAATGCTCAACCACTGAGCCACACCAGTCAGACTAAATAATTAATATATTTATATGCAGGGGTAAAAATAGTCACAAAAAGATAGTTTAGGAAAATATATCATGATGAGATTTTATTCATTCAAAAAATAATTTGGTACTACTATTTCAACTGAGTTTTTTTTTTTTAATTGATTTTAGAGAGAGAGGAAGGGAGAGAGAGAGAGAGATATGTAGAAACATTGATGAGAGAGAACATTGATTGGCCACCTCCACAACATGGGCATGTGCCCTGACTGGGAATCGAACCAGCAGCGACCTCTTGGTGCATGGGTCAATATTCAACCACTGAGGCACACCAGCCAGGCTCAGTTGAGATTTTAATTTGTCAGCAGTTCCTACTCAAAAATTTCAGTGGCTCTTATCAATATTAGCACAAATAGGTAACAATGTGGATACAAAGTTGGGTCCTAGAGGCTGTTCTACAATGAGACCACAGAAATGTCCAATGTGGCAAAATAGAAAGTGATATGTGCCATAAAAAAGATACAAATTAAATGTGCTTGGAATTCACAGCAGAGAGAAATGACTTAGCATTAAACGATCAGCATGGGGGGAGCTTCAAGCTGGGGACTGCTTAGGTTTGGACTTGCAGAAACAGGAAGGGGTACTACACGCAGAGGCAACGAGGGTTCATATAGACACAGATTACGGAGGTTTCTAAGGACGGATAGGGAAGATAAGCTTGGGGTCAAATTTTAGAAGCCCTAACAAATCAGGCTAAGGCTTTCCTTTGTTGTTGAACAATGAGGGGAACTGTGGTGGAGAAGTGAAATGGCCCCGAAGTCTTAGGGATATTTTTCCAGCAGCCCCTGTGTCCACTGAATTGATTACAAAGAGCCAGGTAGGGAGTGTTGTAAAAATTCAGGAAAAAGGGGATAGGGACATAATCTCTGGCATTAGTCATGGAAACAGAAGGGATGGCTCCACAAAATCCTGTGGAGGGTAAAACTAGTAAGATTTGGTTTGTTTGATCATCAGAATCACTTGAAAGCAAAGATTTCTGAACCTTACGCCCAGAGTTACCGACTCAGTGGATCTCGGGTAGAACCTGAGCATTTGCATTTCTAACAAGTTCCCAAGTGCTGCCAGGGCTGCTGGTGCTTCCAGTGCTGCTGGTGCTGCTGGTGCTGCTGGTGCTGCTGGTGCTGCTGGACCAGGACCGCCCTTTGAGAACCACTGCTCTCGTAGGACATTGCACATCGAAACTGCACTCATAATCCTGTCGCCTTGTTTCCAGGTTTTGAATCATTTGTTTTAATTTTTTTTCTTTATTGATTTTAGAGAGAGAGGAAGGGAGAGGGGGAGAGAGATAGAAACATCGATGGGCCACCTCCTGCATGCCCCCCACTGGGGATTTGACCCACAACCTGAGCATGTGCCCTGACAGGAATCGAACCAATGACCTCTTGGTGCCTGGGTCGACACTCAACCACTGAGCTACACCGGCCGGACTGAATCATTTGTTTTTGTTTTTTTTATCCTCACCCGAGGACATTTTCCCATTTTTTGTTCAGACAGAGTCAGGGGGAGAGAGAGGAAGAGAGAGAGAGAGAGAGAGAGAAACATCGATGTGAAAGGGACACATCGAGTGGTTGCCACCCACATGACCAACCAGGGCCGGGGACAAACTGCAACCGAAGTACGTGCCCTTAGTGGGAACCGAACCCGGGTCTCTCTGGACCACAGGCTGACACTGTAACTGCTGAGCCAAACTGGCCAGGGCTGAATCATTTGTTTTAATGAAGGAAAGATGGAGAACTCGGATCAGGACCCACTGTGGTTGCAGTGCCAGAGGGCTTCAAGTGGAGACCTTCGTAAATAATTTCAAGTAAGGACCTGGAACAATGGAGGAGACGAAGCATTGGGAGATACAGAACTGACCCATACAAATGTGAAAGGGATGAACGTACAGAGAGAAGAGGACTTGGGCTAGAACTTTGTGAGAGTGGGAGAGAAGGTAAAGAGGGGCCAGAGAAATAAAGGTGTTAGAGAGCTGGAGACGAAGCACACAAGGCAGAAGGATTTTTAGAAGTGGTCTAATTGCACTAATACATTTAGAGTAGTTAGCTGAGAATTGTGGACCATAAACAAGGGCGGGTTTTATGGAAAGTAACTTCACAGCGTGATCTGATTATAAATTCCTAACTGGACAGGTCAAAGTGGGTAGTCCTGCCCCAGGCATATAACTTTTTAGTAAAAGGTTTATCTTTGCCTTACCCAAGTCCTGCCCATTTTTTCTGTGCATCTAGGTTAACACACCTTTGAAATAACCACCCTCAAAAGAGCACATCATCTTAAGTAACCTGTTATCCAGTTCCCACCTTTCTCCCACCTCCATGTCTCCTCCTTAATTTCAAATGCATAAAAGAAGCTGCAAAATGGTGATTCTCCAGAGC